TATGAAAGGAATTATTCTCAAACAACACCTATGCTTGAAGAGAACTCATTTGGACAGATGATGAATCTCAATCTTTTTATGAGACTTTAAATGCAATAAACAATCGTTCTAATAATCCTTATGCCAATTATTATAATCCTGGTTGAAAGAATCATCCAAACTTTAGTTGGAGTAAAAATAAGTCAAATGTTGCAAATCTACAATGGGGAATCAATGTTGTGAACCCAATGGGAAGCTCCAATAATCAAGAAAATCAAGCTTATAAACCTTATTACTCCCCATGATTTAATAATTTGCAAAGTAAGGAGAAAAAATTATCAATAGAAGAATTGATATTGCAAATGGGAAGTCAATTACAGAGTTAAGGAGCTGCAATCAAAAACATGAAAAATCAATTGGGATGTATTGCTACTACACTTAGCAATAGACCTTCATGAACATTGCCTACTAATGTTGAAGTAAATCCTAAAGATCAGAACAAGGAGCAAATTAAAGATATTCAACTGAGAAGTGGAAAAGAATTAGAAGAAAGATTTTAACGAGAAGTTGAAATAGAAAAAAAATGAGGTGGAAAATGAAAATTCTGATGAAGATTTTTATTGTGAGTCAGAAGTCCTATTAAACCAATGAAAATCACTATAGAAATACCACCACCTTCATTTCCTCAAAAATTGAAGCAGAAGTATAAAGATAATTGATTTTCAAAATTTTTGAAAATTTTGAGGATATTGATGATAAACATTCCATTTGTTGAAGCTTTGGAACAAATGTCAAGCTATGTGAAGTTCATGAAGGATATACTTAATAAGAAAAGGAAGTTTGTAGATAATGAGACTGTTGCACTCAGTGAAGAGTGCAGCGCTATAATTCAGAAGAAGCTTCCTGAAAAACTTAAAGATCCTGAAAGTTTTACAATTTCTTGTGCTGTTGGCGAACGATTTTATGGAAAAACTTTATGTGATTTAGGAGTCAGTATTAATCTTATGTCGTTATCAATTGTCAGAAGGTTGGGCTTAAGAGATATTTCACCTAGAGCTGTAACTCTTCAGTTAGCTGATTGTTCGATTTCTTATCCTAAAGGAGTTATAGAAGACGTTTTAGTAAAGGTTGATAGATTCATCTTTCCTGTGGACTTTATTGTATTATATATGGAGGAAGATAAAGAAATTCCTATTATTTTAGGAAGAAATTCCTATTATTTTAGGATTATTTTAGGAAGATCATTCCTAGCCACTGGAAGAGTTTTGATAGATGTACAGAAAGGAGAACTAACTATGAAAGTTAGTGATCAAGAGGTTACATTTAATATTGTAAAATCAATGAGATACATTGCAAAAGAACAAGAGATTGAATGCTTCAGAATGGATATTAATGAGTATTTAAGCCATAAATATTTAGAAAAGACATATGAAAGCAAATTTGAAAAGGAATATATGGAATATCAAGATGAGGATAAAATCCAAGATGAGTCTATGGAAGTGAGTACGAAAGAATTGAAATAATTTCAGGACAAATTTAAATGTTAAATCCTATAGAAAATGACAACAATTTGATTTCATCTATTAAGAAACCCCCTGAACTAGAATTGAAAACACTTCCTACACATTTAAAGTATGCATTCTTAGGAGATTCATCTACACTACTTGTCATAATATCCTTAGAACTAACTGATGCATAAGAACAATAGTTGTTATAAACTTTGAAAAGATATAAGAAAGCCTTTGGATGGACATTAGCTGATATTAAAAGAATCAGTCCTTTAATCTGTATGCATAGAATTTTATTGGAAGATCAACATAAACCAAGAACTGATCCTCAAAAGAGATTGAATCTTATGATGAAGAAGTGATTAAGAAAGAAATTATAAAATGGTAAGATGCGAGAATAATATATCATATTTCAGAAGTGTTTGGGTGAGTCCAATTCACTGTGTTTCTAAGAAAGGAGGTGTAACTGTAGTGACAAATGAGCATAATGAATTAATATCAACAAGACAAGTCACTAGATGGTGAGTCTATATGGATTATAAAAAATTAAATTCTGCCACCCGAAAGGTTCATTTTCCTTTACCCTTTTTGGACCAGATGTTGGATAGATTGTCTGGGCACAATATTTTTATTTTCTAAATGGATACACCGGTTATCACCAAATACTTATTGCCATTGGGGATCAAAAGAAAACAATATTTACTAGTCCTCATGGAACTTTTGCTTTTCGACAAATGCCTTTTAGATTATGTAACGCACCTGCAACATTTCCAAGATGTATGATGTCAATTTTCAGTGATTTGATTGAAAAAGGGATTGAAGTTTTTATGGACAATTTTTCTGCATTCGGAACTTCCTTTGAAATATGTCTAAATCAATTAGAGAAAGTTCTGGAACGTTGTGAAAAGGCTAATCTCGTTTTGAACTGAGAGAAATGTCAGTTTATGGTTGCAGGAGGAATTATTCTTGGAGGAATTATAATTATTCTTGGACATAAAATTTCAGAAAATGATATGGAAGTAGATCATGCAAAAATTCAGGTTATATCGAACCTACCTCCACCTACTACTGTAAGTAAAGTTAGGAGCTTTTTAGAACATGTCAGATTTCACAGGCGATATATCAAAGATTTCAAAATTTACCAAGCCTTTATGCCAACTTCTAGAAAAAGATGCAAAGTTTGACTTTAACCAAGATTGTCTTAAAGCGTTTGAAACTTGAAAGAAAAAATTGATCATTGCTCCTATAATTGTTTCACCAAACTGAGAGAAACCTTTTGAATTAATGTATAATGCTAGTGATTATGCAATTGGAGCTGTTTTGCAATTGGAGCTGGCTAGTGATTATGCAATTGGAGCTGTTTTAGGGCAGAAATATAATAAGATTTTCAAGGTCATATATTATCTCTTAATGATGCTTAATGATGCTTAAATTAACTATATCACCACTGAAAGAGAGTTATTAGTCATTGTGCATGCTTTTGATAAGTTTAGATCATATTTGGTTGGAACTAAATGTGTTGTGCATGTGTTGTGCATACAAACTACTCTGCTTATTAAATATTTGATGCAAAAGAAAGATGCAAAACTAAGATTAATTAGATTGATACTTTTGATGCAAGAGTTTGATTTTATAGTTGTCGATAAGAAAAAGACTGATAATCAAATAGATGATCATCTATCGAGATTTTTTCTTCTATTTTTTAACATGAAGAAATACTTGATCTGGAGAGAGAGAGAGATTCTGATGAACAACTTTATGCTGTGACTTTATGCTGTGAAAGGATGAGAAATACATTGGTATGCTGATATTGTGAATTATATTATTAGTGGTATTTTACCATTTGGACTGATAAAACAATAGTAAAAGAAATTCATTTATGATGCAAAATCTTATTTTTTGGGATGATCCTCATTTGTGTAAACAATGTAAAAATTTAGTTATAGGAAGATGTGTGTCTTATAAAAAAATTCAGGAAATTATACCAAAATGTCATGATTCTGAATTTGGATGACATTTTAGGAGTGATAGGACTGCTTGAAAAATTTTACAATCTGTATATATACAAACATGTGATCGGTGTCAGATTTTAGTGTCAATCATTTGGACTCGATTGATGATCCTCTTTGTGAAATTTCGATCAACAATAGGGGCGCTCATTTGAACTGTTTAATCCCTTTAAGATTTATGTTAACTTTTTTTTGGTATACACACTTAAATCTTTAATATCACATAAAAATTACATCTGTAATTTTTTAAAAGCGAAATTCGCCTTTTCATGTGTGGATGTATGCCATCAAAGTGTTATAAATGTAAATATAAAAGTTTAGGTGTTAGATATGTAAATAAATAAGAATTGTGTGGTATGGTATGTACCTAAATCTATCAAAAATATGTCCTCGACATTTTGTTTATAGCATCTAATCTTTTAGATCAGAACAAGATAATTAAATACAAAAAGAAGCAAGTAAATATTTTTGTTTATAGCATTTAATCATTCAAAAATATTCACATGGTATGTACCTAAATTTAATTAACTACGTGGCTACAAAGATTTATAATCAATTAAAATTATTAATTAAAAAATAGAATAAAAATATGTTAAATTATATTTAAATAATATTTCAATATAAATAATAATATTTAAATCTTGCCTCAACCCTTAACATCCTACGGCTGTGTGACAAGGATTCTCAAAATAACTCTTCGCTCGTGTAGAACTTGAGTTCAGTTCACTAAGCAAACGAGCTATACATGAATGCACTTTGTGTATTGAAAATAAAAGAGAGCCGAATACGAACAATGATATTTTTTAAACAACCGAACACGAGCGACTCTTTTACACCCCCAGTAATACGTACATACCATCAAGTTCTTATGTATGTACACATCTAATACCGAAAATTTGTTTTTTTATATTTACAACAGCCAAATCTTTCATATCATTAAAAAATACTATCATTTTAATTTTTGAGAAATAAAATACATTTTTTATGCGTAAGTAAGACAACATGTAAATGGGGTAATTACATACATATTACCCAATTCGTATGTATCAAAAACAAAAAATTTACTTATTTTCAATTACACCACCCAAATATCTCAAATCACATCAAAAAATACCACAACATTAAGTTCAAAAAATAAAATATATTTATTTATGCATGCTTTAAATAAATAAATAATTAGGAATACGTGGCACGTATATAAATCATCCTATAATTGAATGTTCCAAATATATGCTCAAGATATTTATAATATATTAAACCAGTTCAAAGATTTTTTTTCAAATTTCTCTCCTCTGGAACCCTTGACCCACGATTTTGCCTCTCAGGTCGGCCATGGTTTTCGCACACCCATTTGATTTCACACCCTCCATCATTCATCAAACGGTCTATATTTCTCACATGAATTTTTCATACCGACCGCTGGTTTCGAAAGCACGGAACTAATTTGTTGTCCATTGCATACTAATATGATCACAGCCGTCCAATTTCTTGATGAATTGGCAAATAAAATACGTGGTTGTCAACTGCTCAAACTTCGCTAATTCTGGGATCTTTCTCTATAAAAGGAGACATTGGGGCTGCAATTTTCTCCCACAGATCTGCGAAATCTAAAGTTCTTGCGAGGTACAGATCTGTCGCCCTGTTTTTGCTCTAATTTGTCTTTGGTTTTCTCGTCTCAGAACTTTGAATTTAGGGCTGAGATGAAATATTGATGTAGATTGTTTATAATGGATGTTTTTATTTTTTTTAATGCGAAGTTTCATGTCTTTGATGTGATTTTTATAGCGTGTACTTGAGGAAATGGGTAGCTTTGATTTTTCATGGAAACTGGCGGATCACCCAAAGCTTCCGAAGGGGAAGACGGTAGCCGTAGTTGTTTTGGATGGATGGGGCGAGGCTAAACCTGATGAATACAATTGCATCCACACAGCCAAGACGCCGACGATGGATTCCCTTAAGACGGTATTTTTGCAATATGGATTTTATTTTTTTTCTGATGATAGTTGTTTTGATAACATAGGTTAAATTAGTGAATTAGTTTGAATCCTGTTGCTTTAGAAATAGAACTTTTGATCTTTTTTGAGCGTTTCATGGAATCTAAATGGTTGCTAATGTTGTTGTGGAAGCTATAGTTGTATGGTAGAGTATATTTATGTAACTGTTCTTTTCAAGTTGTGTTTCTGATTATGAGAGTTATTTTGTTGTTCTGACTATCGATTTATATTCTGTTGTGTGTAATGCTAGATTATCATGTGTGTAGAATATGCTCTATGAAATACATCTTTTTTCAGAAAATTTTCTAATGTGTTATTTTTTGCGTGCCTTGGTGATATTTACATAGGTTTAAGTAGCATAGGTTTATTCTACATAATAATATGGGTGTTGATGATGATATAAATTATAAATTTAAAACTTAGTTGTTAAAATCAGAAAATTTCCTGAGAATATTGTGAGATAAGTAATATCATGGAGGGTTGAAGTCAAGTTTTATGAAATTGCAATTAAGTGTGCTAGGTTGTATAGTTTCGATTGTTAGGTAATAATAAATTCTTTCGCAACAAAGTTAGGTGTGAATGGGAGGATGTTAAAATGAAGGATAAATTGAGAAATTATTTTATTAAAATGAAATTGAAAGACTTGTTAGTGAAAAATAAAATATTTTGGTTTGATTTTGTACAATGAGGTTGAAAAATGCATCATAAATGAGTAAATAAAATTGATGTTGAAGAACTAACTTGGAAAAGTGGACCTAACATAATATGGATAGAAGTAGCTCACAAAATTTGTGGATAATATATTTAAAATTACTTTCAATACTCAATAGGAACAAATGAAAAATTAGGATTTATAACCTCAACCCCAAATAACTGGGGTAAGACTAATGATGATAGTGATGGCATATTGATCCCAAATATAATGTGGTGATAAAGAGGAGTGATGATGGTGGTGGTGGTGTTTCATGGAACAATGGTCCTAGTCTAGTTCTAACATGAAATCCTTGCATTTATGATGGTGGAACAAGGTAAATCTTTATGCTATCTATTGTAAAATGAGCATAAGTTGCATGCATAAACTCTATTCTATCACTCAAGTTTTTTTTAAAGTAAGCACAATTCAACAAATACAATACTTTTGAGGGCCTTTTTTTAACTGTTTGAATGGCGTAAGACCTTGTGCACATATAGAAAAATTTATGAAATAGTGGAATACTCTATGGGAGAAAGGTTGCATGGTACTGCCTTCATGCAAGCTTTTAGAGCATATAGAATAGTGAGTAATGTGTTGTCTACATCAATTGATAATCCATATCTTTGTCCTATATTGCCTAAGAAATAGATGAAATTATCATGTTGGTCTAATGACTCCATTTTGGCTATTGTGTCATTTGTTGCATGAGTACAAGAGCCTGTAAATGCACATAGTATGAGGACCTTGTACATACTCTTTTAATGTTATTTTTGTAGCTAAAACATGATAGTAGTAAACATTGGAATATTATATTTAGTCTGTGCAGTTTTAATGTTCGCAATCTATAGGGCATAATGTTCAAAAAAATTGTCACTTGTATGTAGTCACATTTTTTTTCAAATCCATGCCTTATGTATTGTTAATGCTCTTGCAAATTGCAAAACTGGTTTATTTATTTGAAGCAAAAACCAAAGATAGATGAAATTATCATGCTTTAGCTACAAGCTTTTAGAGCATACAGAACAGTGAGTAATGTGTTGTCTACATCAATTTATAATCCATGTCTTTATCCTATATTGCCTAAGAAATAGATGAAATTATCATGTTGGTCTAATGACTCCATTTTGGCTATTGTGTCATTTGTTGCATGAGTACAAGAGCCTGTAAATGCACATAGTATGAGGACCTTGTACATACTCTTTTAATGTTATTTTTGTAGCTAAAACATGATAGTAGTAAACATTGGAATATTATATTTAGTCTGTGCAGTTTTAATGTTCGCAATCTATAGGGCATAATGTTCAAAAAAATTGTCACTTGTATGTAGTCACATTTTTTTTCAAATCCATGCCTTATGTATTGTTAATGCTCTTGCAAATTGCAAAAGTAGTTTATTTATTTGAAGCAAAAACCAAAGATAGATGAAATTAGCATGCCTTAGCTACAAGCTTTTAGAGCATACAGAATAGTGAGTAATGCGTCTTCTACATCAATTGATAATCCATATCTTTGTCCTATATTGCCTAAGAAATAGATGAAATTATCATGCTGGTCTAATGACTCCATTTTGGCTATTGTCTCGTTTGTTGCATGAGTAGAAGAGCCGGTACATGCACATTGCATGAGGACCTTGTTCATACTCTTTTAATGTTATTTTTGTAGCTAAAACATGATAGTAGTAAACATTGGAATATTATATGTAGTCTGTGGAGTTTTAATGTTCGCAATCTATAGGGCATAATGTTCAAAAAAATTAACACTTGCATGTTTTCACATTTTTTTTCAAATCCATGCCTTATGTATTGTTAATGATGCAAATTGCAAAACTGGTTTATTTATTTGAAGCAAAAACCAAAGATAGGGTGGATTTTCATGACTTTTGTTTTAAAGGCACAATATTCTTTCATTGACGGATGTTGGAAGTGTTAGACGAGAGAAATATTAAGGAATTAAAGAAAGCTTTAGAATTTAATGTTTAATGGCTAGAAGGAATGAAGAATAAAAGTGGTGTTCTTGAGATAAAATTTACTTATTTTGAAGGAATAAAGAATAAAAGTGGTGTTTTTGTGATAAAATTTACTTGTCTCTAGCTATGCAGCCCTTTTAATGGTATTCAGAATCATATGATCAATTATCTTAATGTAATAATTAGCTTTATTAAAAGCGGAGAAAAGTAATATGCATCTCTGCTGCTTTATACTTTAAATAAGCACTGAGTGTGCTTACTGAACAAGCAGCATATATTAGTTAGAACTTTAATTCTTAGGCTCGAATATCTTAGCATGCTCGATCTTTTCCACAGATTTGAGTTCATCGCAGTTTTCTGTGAAACTACAATGAGCCAAACAAGCTTGGTGGTTTATAATGGCCTTTTACAGAGGTTGGAAATGCTAGCAAAAAAAGGTATTAAGGAAATAAGGAAAACTATTGTGCTATAGGTAAAATTTTTGGTTTAAGGTGTGCGTTCATTTGTATAGTTCTTAGAATCATATGATCAATTAACTTTATATTATCATGTTTAATTAAAAATGATGGGAAAAAAGAAACATACACTGCTGTTGCTATTACTTTTTATAATAATTGGTAGACTTTGGCTCTTTTAATGTGCTTACAGAGCTAGAAGCATTTGCAGACAATGAACACAAATATTTCAAAATGAATCATATTACCGACCAAGAACCATACCACCTTTATTTAATTCAATAATTCATGCTTTTATGCATTTATTGATGCTTTTAAAGCTGGGTGTGTAATTGAATCTTCAGATGTAGTTTGGAAATAGATAATGTTTAAAGTGCTTTAAGGGCATCAATGACTTGAAATTAATGCAGAATTGATTTGATTTAGACTGAACCATCCAATTCCTTGCGCATGATATTCATTGCATTAACATGTACTTTCTGAGGATTTAATTTCTGCTCTTAATCATGAGAAACTGATTTCCCATGCTTTGTTTATGGTTATATGCTATGGATTACATCGACCAATGAAACCAAATTTCCTTATTTAGAGAATAAATTATATTTTTTGTGAATTTTGAAACTTTAAACTAGAGTTGAGGGCCAATTAGATGGAATGATCTGTTACAAAAGCAACTACCAAATAAGCCATGCATTATATTTTTAGCAATTCAAAAGAGTCTGCAGATATAACTTTTTGCTGAACTAACCAATTAATTTTAACTAGCATAAAACTAGCCTAATCATATGAATTGTTTAGTCCTGGCCTTAACTCAGTTTGAACAAGTTAATAAACTTAATCAATTGGAGTCGGTTGGGTACTTGTTTTGGTCAGGAAATGTGCTGAGAGGACTAATACATCCTAATAAAAATTAGAGAGAATTAATTTGTACTTTAGAAGGTTGAGTTTTTTCAGCTCTTTCATACCAATATTGTAATGGTGAACAAGCATTGAACCTTGAAATTTATCTTTCTCCAACTCATTGGCTAGGTTTCTTTGTTGGACTATGTTTTTCCTCTCCTTATGTTTCCATTTTAACAAGTTGCCAACTTTTTATCTATTCCGCTTGAATGATCACGGTGCTATAGCATCACAATTAACCTTGAATAGCATTGTGTTAGAATGACTTTTTCTAGAATCATCGAGAGCTAAATGCTTATTAAAAATTAAGAGTAAAACAAAAAGATATCATCAAATAAAAGAACTGAGCCTCATATTACTACTAGGATATAACTTATATCAATTTTGTTGAATTTCCTGTTACTCGATGAGACTGTTGGAAGAAGTTGCTTACCACTACATATTTATCATTCAAATTAGAAATCAATTTAATCTTCTTTACTTGCCTCAAACATAAATATTTTTAATAATTAAATCTCCATCATTTTATAGTAAAAAAATTAATGAGAACAACAGACAACTCTGACCATACTAAGTGAACCGAAAAGGCTCGCATGACCATTGTAATTATATAGCCAAGGTGGCATTATAGTGTTATGGAGAAGCCAAGGAATCAATTTATGAAATCCTATAATAGAGGAATTACAAGGTGAAACATTTAAGGATCCATAAAAGAATAGTCAAAAGGAAGCCAAGCTTAGCAGGAGTCACAACTTGCCCATCAATACTAGAAAATTTCAACAGTAACTCAACAAATTGGTAGAAGTTGATAAATATATAATTAATTGAATAATTAAAAAAAATGTTTACAATAATCAATATCCTTCTAAAATATGATCAAAGCTTCTCAAATCAAATGTCTTTAAATTAATTTATCCAACAAAAATTAATTGAAAATGAATTTTTAATAACTCGTAAAATTTAATAGGTATAACTTTGTAAAAAATATATTCAATAGATGAAATGTATCACTAATTAATAAAAAGTAAGACATAAGACATGTAATATGATTATAAATTCACATGTAAAACAAGATGGGTCATAATAATTATCATCATTGCATCAAATTATGGAAACTTTTATGATATGACCTATTAGAAATTGCAACTAATTGAACAATGATTATTATATTTTAGAGTTCAAGATAAATGACCTAAATAATTATGGAAGCTAATGCATACAAATGTTCAAATATTCACACGTATCCGTATCACATATTTATATATTTAGAAAAGGCTTGTCAAAGTTATAGGCTATGCTTTATATATAGCTGGTTTTTCATAATACTTTGGAATTAAAGGAGTATCTTCACCAACTTGATGGAGTTGATTGCTTTTGAGGGGTCATCATTTTGTAAGCCCATTGGCCCGATTAACCAACCTTATAACTGGAAGGAACTATTGACATAAATCAAGCATGCAAGAATAACTTATACAACATTATGTTAGGAGCAAGATTTTATAACAAAGAGTTTGTGATTAATATGAATAAAATTAATTTCACATCAATGTTATATACAATATAAAGTAAATAATGCCAACGTATGGGTCATTTCAATAGTATCAGATTTATGCATTAATTATAGTGGCAAAACTTACCACACATATTAAAATGAGCAAGAATTGCTAAGCATGAATGATACGTGATTAATATTATATATTAACAAATATATGAAGCTTATAACAATTGTCAAGAAAAATGTCCCTCATAAGGTATATTATGTTCATTCTTCAACATGTTAGCCACTTATTTGCTGTAGACCACAAGTGGTATGCCCATCATGACTAGTATTTATCGATCCTACACATTGCTCTCTATAGACCATAGTTTTTTTTTTCTTCATTTTTTTTGCTACTCTATGAACTGTACAATCAAAATTATCTTTATCTAATATCTATTCAATCCATTGCATATCCAAAGCTAGATAATTTAACAAAAAAAAGGATATCCTTATATTTAAAAATTTCTTATGATTTCTTGTAAAAAGAATTTCCTAATCAAATTTGAAACTGATTTTGCTTAAATTCTCTTAACATGCACATAGATATTAGGAAAATGATTATTAACCTCACATTATGCATTTATTTTGTCATCCCAATATTTGTTATTCCCAATTTTTATTATTTCAAAACATTCTTCCATTTACATGAATGAGTTTAGTTCAACATTGCAAATAAGTTCATTTTACAATCTAATCTACATATATAATCAAACCCAATGTGTACACCTCAAAATAAACATCATCATTGTAAGGTTATTGACGTGAAAAACAAATATTATGGTTTAATTAACTCAATAAATTAGGTTAAATTATATGTATTTAAATAAAAATGTCATCTTATCTGGTTAGTTTTATTTTACTATATTTCTAAGTAGTTTAGCAAGAAGTAAAATGGGAAAATCCTCATCTTATCTTACTTTATCATTTGAATGTATTTAATTGCATTCATGAATTTGGATGATTACTTTCTTGTGTTTTACTAATCATGTAGTGGTGGATTTTGTGATGTAAAGTGAATCAACTCTTGATATCCGAAAATTTCTTTTTTTGTTTCATTAATAAGAGTTTGTACATATTTACCTTTATGTTATTAAAGATATTAACAATCTCTTTCATATTTGAAGGGTGCTCCTGAAAAATGGCGCTTGGTTAGGGCTCATGGGACAGCAGTGGGGCTTCCAACTGAAGATGATATGGGTAACAGTGAAGTTGGACATAATGCACTTGGGGCCGGACGCATCTTTGCACAGGGGTAATATTAAAATCATGATTTTCCTTTTTATGACCTCTGAAACTTTTTATTCCTTTTTTTGTCTGAACTTCTGTTCGGTGCATGCTTCTTTTTGCTTATTCGAAAAATAGTGAAATTTTTTTTCACAATTACTGAAATCTAAGGTAGCACATTATGGAAGTGACTCATTGTTATGCATCTAAATAGGAAGTTTTATTTTGCATTGTTTTTCTGACAACTGTCTAATTAAAAGATTGCCATGTTGGATTTGATTTTGTAAAAGGGACGTTGCTGAATGTAGAAGTTTAAATCTTCCCTTTGAATGTTAGCAGACAATTTGAATATGAGTGATTTTTAAATGAATTTGATCCAATTTATGTTTTAATAATTAGGATGGATTGATTTAAAGTACAGTATGTGCTTTGGGAATCTCTTTTTACCATACCATATTTGGTTATTTTAGAACATTTCCTCACTTTGCAGTTTTTTCTTGAATCCTATGAATTTCGTTCAGTAATTTTAGAGGGCTTTTTTGCTGATGATGTTCTAGAGTCTTTTTTTCTTTTGGTGCTTTACTCCCCTAAAAATTGATGTAATGACTTTCTACATTACGAGCTTGTTTATTGAGCATCCCCTTTTCATAAGATAGGTTAAAAAACTGTGGTTGCAAAGCCGCTTTCTGAAGCTTTTTTAATATTCCTTTGTGAAACCTGCTTTTTAATACAAATTTGTCTGAAAGCCTCAATTTTTTTGCCTAAATGTGATAATAACCCCATTTTACATTAGATTTTGCTTTTGTAATCAATGTTATTAAAAGTGCACATTAAATTCTTGAAATGTGAAATGTTGTGATGCTTAGTATTTTATGCATCACTTGCTTCTGATGTGCATGGAGAAGTCTAAGCTTGTTGGTTGCCACTTGGGCATACAAGTGCTTGCAATTCGTGATTTCTCTTCGGGCTTAACTTATACGGCCAATCAGGTGGATTAGTTCAATTAATGAAATAAAAGGGACGGGAGAACCAATTCATAAATGAGAAGAAGAAAAAATAAAACATTAAGTCTTACAGACAATGCTTTGGACCCTCTCGTTCTTTGCCCAAATACTATTTCTTCTCCACACACTAGCGTACTTGGAAAACTGCTTCCAACTTCTTCACATGTTATTGCTCCTCCACACAAACAACAGATAACCACAAGGTTCCTTATATTCTCTTCATTAACTCCCAACATAGAATTGCATTTATTGTCTCACGCATTTTTCCTTAGGTTTTGTACATTATTCACTGCTTCTCAATTTGATTCTTATCACGATTTTTTTTATTTCAATTTTGTTTTTTTGTTTGCTCAACTCTTCTTAGTTGCAAAAGTTTTTGTTGTATTTAATTGTTATGTTGAACTCATTTAGAATGATGCTTTACTTTTGAACTGAGTACCTATAAACCAAATGAAAAATTCACTCTAATTTTTTCCTTTGTAGTTTGAAATGCCTAGTAGAAGCATGTTCATTTTACATTTGATTCGACCACAGGTTCTAAATTATAACTCAGGGTCATCCAAGGTTTTGACTTTTTAAATACACTTCAAACTTTCAGAATCCTCCTTAAATCAGTAAAATTTGGAACTGAAACTACTTAAAAAACTGAAGATCCTTGATTCCCTTCAATTATTGTTAAACTAATCCATTCATGTTGCTTAGGTTTGATTTGATTTGTTGAGGCAACATTGTTCTTCCTTATCAGAAAGTCGGTTACAATCTAGTCTTACTTTGTTTATTGAACTACAGGGCTAAGCTTGTGGATCTTGCTCTTGCCTCGGGAAAAATATATGAAGGAGATGGTTTTAAATACATCAAAGAATCCTTTGACAAAGGTACTTTGCATTTGATTGGATTGCTAAGTGATGGAGGTGTTCACTCCCGCCTTGATCAATTACAGGTATTAAAAAAGGGTTTTAAGAGAAAAACAACCCACTCTTTCTTTTCCCTTGTAAATTTTGTCCTTAAATTGTCCTTTCTTGAGTGCAGCTGCTGCTGAAAGGTGCTAGCGAGAATGGCGCCAAAAGAATCAGAGTACATTTTTTAACTGATGGCCGTGATGTCATAGATGGAAGCAGTGTAGGCTTTGTGGAAACCCTTGAAAATGACCTTAAAAATTTGCGTGAAAATGGCATTGATGCACAGATTGCGTCTGGTGGTGGACGGATGTATGTTACTATGGATCGTTATGAGGTACTCTGTTCTATTTGTTCTTTATTTATAGCACACAATTTTAATGTATTTACATATCTCACACCTAAACTTTCATATTTACACACAGCGCTCAAATCAGTAATAGCACATAAAAAATAGCACTGTTATCACTTTTTAAAAATGAAATACATATTTTCGTGCATAGACTTAAAAAACTAAATGTATGCAAATATGGAAGTTTAAGTTTGAGATATGTAAATACATAAGAATTGTATGCTACATATGTAAATTTCCTTTTATTTTCTCTTTTTGAACATTTCAATTATTAGGCCAATATTTCTGAAAACATGGTTGAAGTGTTTTCTCTTTGGTGTCTCTTTCCCTTTTGTGCTTATTTGTTGATTAATGATTCTTCCAAATTTCATTTTGCAGAATGATTGGGATGTCGTTAAACGTGGCTGGTATGCTCAGGTTCTTGGCGAAGCACCTTACAAGTTCCAAAATGCAGTTGAAGCGGTGAAAGAGCTCAGAAAGGAACCTAAGGCTAATGATCAATATTTGCCTCCATTTGTCATAGTTGATGAGAGTGGTAAAGCAGTCGGCCCAATAGTGGATGGTGATGCTGTCGTCACGTTTAACTTCCGAGCGGACCGAATGGTTATGCTTGCTAAAGCTCTTGAATATGATAACTTTGATAAATTTGACCGTGTCCGTTTTCCAAAGATTAGATATGCTGGAATGCTTCAATATGATGGCGAATTAAAGCTTCCAAACCATTATCTTGTTTCTCCTCCCGAGATAGATAGGACATCAGGTCAATACCTTGTGAAGAATGGTATTCGTACTTTCGCTTGCAGGTACATGTTGTGCTTTGTTTTCTTATGGACCTTGAGATCAGCAATTCATATTATTTAAGAGCTTGTAGGGATTGATTTTGACTTAACAACAATTAGTTTCTTGTTTTTATTTATTTGTTGGGCTGCATGATGTTCTGCTTTTGTTGATTTCATTCTTTTATATCATCATCACCCTTTTTACACACTTGCTAAAATCTCTAAGGATTTAAATTAGAAGAAATTTTTTTTTTGTTCTGAAGATTAGAGATGTAGTTTATTGTTATGCACTTGTTGGAGATGTCATTTAGTTTGAGCTCAAACCATGTTTATTTTTCTTTAGTCGAGTAACTGTTAACGGAACATTTAATTAATTGATCCATTTAACTGCAATGTTTTTACCTAGTGTCATTATCTTTAGGGTCTCATTTGTGCATCATTAATTCATTCCATTTAAGAATTTATTGTTTTGGAGTTTGCAACAAAAATTCCATCTCAACATCAACCATCAACGAGTCTTTTAATGCAATCTAGTGCGTCAAAGTAAATAATATTAATAATAGTAATAAATAAATTATTGTATTGCTAGAGACTTTTTAAACCTGTGAATTGGCTGTTTTTGATGCCAACAGTCAACAAATAGCCCTTCAACCAATTCCACTGGCCCAAAATGGTTGATACTTTAAAATTGGTACCAATCATATGAATTTGAAGTTGTCTTCTTCAAAAATTTTGTTATAACCAATATAACTTTATTATTTTTGAACATGTCCTCCGTCTGGAATTTTAAGTTTCTGGAGCGGAATATGGCATCCAATCTCTGCGCCAAGCTCTTTTTTAATTTTATATGTGGAAATTATTTTATCAATGATTTGTATTTTCAATATTATGAGAATATATCTCACAGTTTTGTCATCAATTTCGTGTTTTCTTCTGCTGCACTATTTGGTAACTGTTAATAAGCACTTTCTTCTCTTTTTTTTTTTTTGATGGAACAGTGAGACAGTGAAGTTTGGTCATGTCACCTTTTTCTGGAATGGAAATCGATCTGGATGCTTTGATTCAACACTGGAAGAGTATGTTGAAATTCCAAGTGATGTTGGAATCACCTTTAACGTTCAGCCTAAAATGAAGGCACTTGAAATTGCCGAGAAGGCAAGGGATGCTATTCTCAGCGGCAATTTTGACCAGGTAAAGGTTAACTAGATTTAAGATGAAATTGTTCGGTATTATCTTCTTCGTCTTACACTTTCTCGTTCCCTCAGGTACGAGTTAATATACCGAACGGTGACATGGTAGGACACACTGGTGATATTGAGGCTACCACTGTGGCTTGTGAGGCTGCAGATGTAGCTGTAAAGGTAACTTCTTACTTTAAGATGCAAGGCTATTCTTTTAACTTTCAAAAGTAAAGATTGTTGAGTTGTTATTATGCAAAACCTTGGTTCTCAAAGCAAATGTTCATGTAAAAATAACACAAGAAAATGAAAAATGAACTGAGAGATCTCACTGGTTTTCTTCTTTTTAAGAAGTTTTTTTTTTAGTGGTTGAGGCTTGCGAGTGAGTTTTCTTAGTCGATTGATATAATTTTCAATCGATCAAGAAAATTTAGCTGGCCAAATCTTGTTAAATTCAAGCATTTTATCAAATTTTGGTAGATTTACTAGGGTTGCATCAAACCTTACCAAGCTTGAGAATATTTTTCTAAATTACTAGGGTTGCATCAGACCTAGTAGTTTATTATGGCCTCATGAATGCCGAGGCCGAGCAATTACATCTGATTGCAATGAGCCCCGTTAAAATTATATAGATTGTGCTGAAATCTTGTAATTTTTTCAGATTTTTAAAAATGTGATGATAGTCACACCATAATCTTAAAAGAATTCATTGCACTAAAAAATAATCTCTAAGTGATATATGTTTTTATTTATTTTTGTTCTTGCAGATGATTCTTGATGCCATTGTGCAAGTGGGTGGCATCTATGTTGTCACTGCAGATCATGGCAATGCTGAGGACATGGTGAAAAGGGGTAAATCTGGGCAGCCAATTTTTGACAAAGAAGGGAAAGTTCAAATTCTCACCTCTCATACCCTTCAACCGGTAGGCACATGTGAACAATCTTTATTTACTTGCTAAATAACGCCATTTATGTGCACGCGTTTCACCAACTATCTTATTTAGTTGAAATTTAAATAAATACCGCACAATTCTTATGCATTTACATATATAACACCCAAAAATTGATATCCGCATTAATAACACTTTGGTGTTGTAATGCTATGCATGAAAGGTGTTTTTCACTTTTAAAAAGTTAGTAATAGTGGTATTTTGTGGTGTTAAAGATTTGAATGGTATGGATGTAAAATATCAAAGTTTGGGTGTTAGATGTATAACTATATGAGAATTGTGGTATGGATGTAAATGCCTCATTTTTTTGGTTGAATGAAGATGGCTCTGAAACGAATTAATGGGTTATTTAGATATTTTTCATTGCATTCTTAACGTTAACCGACTGCTGAGTACCACCACTTGATGGATATAATTTGTTATGTAGCTGTTGATATCACAATCATATATTTGTTTTGCTTTGATCTGATTTTTTCGCTCTGAAAAAAATCTCTGCAGGTTCCTATCGCCATCGGCGGCCCCGGCTTGAGTCCCGGTGTTCGTTTCCGGAGTGATGTGCCAGATGGTGGCCTTGCCAATGTTGCTGCTACTGTGCTGAACTTCCATGGATTTGATGCACCCAGTGACTATGAAACCACCCTAATTGAAGTAGTTGAGAACTAAATATACTGTGTAATTTTCTATTTATAATATGCTAATATGATTTTTATATTACTTAAGCTCATAGAAAATCTTAAAATAAGTTTACTCCATTGAACTGGAGAATGGTCTTGAGGTTGCCGGTGGTCAAAGTTTTGGGCTGTGTCATTGTAGGTTGTATTAATGTGTGGAGTTTCTCCCACAATGACTTTCTTGCTTTGAATATTTACGTTACTTTTGAAGGATGTTTTTTGCTTAAAGTTTCATATGTTGTATTATTGGATAATTGGTTATGGCAAAGACAATCAATTATGGGCTGTTGAGAAATGATTTTATGTTCAAATTCGACCCTACGGAGTACGGTGAGGCGTTCCTGTGTCTTCGTATCGCTACACAACAGTGGCTTTTATCTTAGGGTCTGTTTGGCGCAGTTGTTGATTATTTATAATCCGCTGATAAATAGATTGTTCTGATAATCTGTAGATTATCAGAATAATCTGGCTTGTTGTTTGGGGTAGTGGAAATACATTCCTCTGCTCCTGTTTGATAAAACTATTTGGGGCAACTTATTCAGAATAGTTTATTGGTAGTACAAAATTATATAGTGCAGGAACATACAAATATCACAGATCAGTTCTAAAAGATGACACAGTTCTCACACTCTCGTGAGTATCAGAAGAAATAAAAAAAGGACAAAGACAAGTACAACTACAATGAGAAATATTAAAATATTTAATTTCAAATTCATACTACGTCTGTTCTCATCTGTACCTATCAACCTGGGAAAACATCAGATTCTCATGATTGCTGGCAGTGTAACATGTGGGACCCCCAGCCCACCGGAAGAAACTGCAACGAGTTGAAACACCCTTAGTATAATCGTAGAACTGTCTCCCAAAGCTATGAGACTGACGCGACGTGAGCAACGAAGAGTGTATAACTGCGAAAATACTTATTGTTTGTAACTGATATCTTAGAAGTTATGTTTGTATATGAGACAAAATACCTATGAGACAAAATACATAGGTATGTTTGTATAATACATATGAGAACAAAATACCTATGAGACAAAATGCATATGAAGCGAAAATACATATGAGACAAAATACCTTTGTCTGTAACTGATATCTTAGAAGTTATGTTTGTATAACTGCGAAAAAATAAAAAAAATGTCAATACTTATTCCAAAAAAATAAAATACACATAAAAATTAATCTACATATATACGAAGTTAAGACAGGCTTGCTGGATTAGCTGCCATATAAATTATCTCAGAGCAGTCATTTCAGCCACACCCTCTGTGTCATGAACTACAAATTCATTAAATTTATTGTCATCCTAAGGAACTGAAGACCCAATCATGTTTTCTGATGGTTCCTCATAAACTGTCAGTTCTTCGTTATCAGTCATACTAAAGTCTGTATCTGAACTTGAAGGGTGTCGTTGTATGAAGTTATAAAGTGTCATTGTTGCCACCACAATATGCACCTGCTTCTGAAATTGATATGACGACATATCACGTAGGATGACCCATTTCTTTCTTTCCTATCACGAATAGTGTCACTTGCTCGCTCAAAATCAGGAATATAATACCTAGTATCTGGATATGGTTTGAGATAGCCCCTTTGCATTGGGTATCCAGCATAAACCAAATAGTATTTTCCTGTTATGAAAATTATTGTTATTTGCAATAAATACCTATAACTTGGAATTTTTAACTTCAATACATACCTGGAGGCAAATGAGGAAAATCCTGCGATCTATTTCTCGTAGTATAAGCGAAAATTCGACTATCACGTGCACTCCCTTCTCAACCCGTCATAACATATGTGAAAAACATGTTGAAGTCACATACCGTCATGTCATTTTGAGTAGTTGAACCACTTCGACCAATATAAGCCACATTGTCCTAGCTGGGTATTCGGGCATCAACGTGAGTACCGTCATTTGCACATATGCAGTTCTATTTTACAATGTTAGAAAATATTTGTGTTGTTATGAAAGTAAATAAAAGAATGGTTACCTTAAAGTAAGGCATGTAACGGGGATCGACTACAATTTGACCTGGAGTATTAGCAAATGATGGATTCTCTGTCCTGATGTTTTTAGAAGCTAAACTAACAAATGTCTGTATGCCTTTGGAAAAATAACGACTTATTGTCTCTGATGAATGCTGAAATCTCTCCATAGCACCCCTAATTGACTCCGCTGAAATCTCTCCATAGCACCCCTAATTGATTCATTCTGTGACAGAATTTATAGTGTTATATCCAATACCTCCCTTCTCGTCGTTCTCGAAGAACCTTGAAGTTTGTGATTGAGGGATAACTCGTGCAAGAGATTCATAAAGATCGGCACTGTCATTCGAAATATGTTATTAAATCTAATAGGATGTCAAGCATTTCGCCAACCCATTTATCCCCAACAAAACTAGAGGTTATTCGAGGTATACAATTTCTGCTTGATCGATAATAATCCAATAGTAATATGGCAAGAGCTGCAGCCCATGCCATTCTCTTACGACGTTCATGTTGTAGATCCATCCTAAAGAAATAAAGATCTTGTTTATTTCATCAATTATTAACTAATATAGCGAAAGAAATAAATAATGAGAAAACTCAACTAGTAAAAATTTTAAATAAAATAAAAGCTCTGTTAATATGCATTCAGGAATCAATTAAAAGTACATTTTAAAAAAGAAACACAACTCCAAATAACAGATGAGTTCATAACTTTGCAGATTACATGAAAACAATTCTAAGAACTCATTTATTAATAATAACATGTAAATATTCGACTCGGAACTCTGATTCCATCGCCATAAATATGTGCCTACGTGTTGGATCCTCGAGTTTTTTCCTACATATTGCATAAAAGTGCTTATCTGCTACAACTTTAGAGATGTTTTTCAAAGTGCGAAGACAATCGAAGATAGTGATGTCAGGTAGTGGAGCAGGTGGTGGTGCTCCAAAAGCATCTATGAGTCTGTCAAATGAAGATTGGATAAAAGTATCATTTTCTTTCTTTATTCTTCCTAGCCTTGGCCTCTTCATCTGCGAGCTTGATTTCCCCATCTCCCTTTGGTTAACGCTGTGTATTTCTTCGTCAACTGCTACCGGATCTGGTGGAAAATCATCAGGTATTCCTGCAAACCCGGTTTTACACGAGCTAAATGCACTCTTTCTGTTGCCACTACCCCCTTGAACATAATGTTAAGTTTATATTCAAGATCAAGGTCAATTCTGCTCTGCTTGTAGTTTTTTGCTGTCAACATTGCCTAACACATTACAATAAAGATTTAGGGTCAACGAGGATAATTGTTTAAAATGAAAAAAATTGTAAGTGACAAAAACATAATGACAATTTTATCTCTAATTTCTCGGCCCACCATTCCTCATGAGCATCAATTGTCCGTTTGATTGGATCCCAACTTAAACCCGTAGATCCACGTTTCAGCTTCTTCCAAATTTTTCACTCCTTCAATTGATCCCATTTATTTTTAAATTTCAATCTGTCATAATCTCTTCCAGTCAATTCTTTAAACCTCTTTAATCCTCTTTGATATGTTATGCCAACCTTCCTTGTTGAAATAGGTGGTCGGCTTATTCCCGATCTCAATCTCGGTGATGCGAGGTTGCAAAAAATAATTGTAACCTCCTTATCCCACATCGCTGAGGGACCGCCTTCACTTGTCTTAGACATTGTGGTACTATATAAATAATTACATATTGTGTAAAGAAATTCATTTTGTAACTAAACATGCATAGGAAAATTAGCCAAATGCACCAACAAGAGAAAGAACACATAAATATATTTAAAAAAGTTAACCTACATCCTCAAATTGACTAAACATCCACAATAAATCCAACTGAAGTAATAGGTAAATCTCATAGAAGAAAAACTAAAAAATAATGACACAAAGGAATTATGTGTTTCGGTCAAGACCTACATCCACAGTAAGACACCAAATATGTTTTATTATGAAATTGTGTAAAGTTACATACCTATGTTTTTCATATACATAGCAATGGTTCTCGATAGACATCCTACATTTGATACAAATAGTGTGAAAATAAAACAATACACATTTGATATAAAACTTTTCATATATGTCGTGGAACCCAATTCGGACAGAAGCAACTGCCATAGAAACTCTAAAATGTAAGCACTGCATATCTTTATCAGAAATAGTTGGAAATGCCGAAAATTGTCAAAGGACATAAACTTTCACATACAAGCATTGTATCTCCTCTCATAGGAAATGCCAAAATATAATAACCAAATTTCTAAAGACTAAAACAACATATTAGCATTGTATGTCCTCTCTAGCCTTGGCATCAAAGTAGCAAGATTCTATATAACAGGTGCAGCAAAACAAATACAGCAAAACAGATGCCAAAATATAATAACCTCGGCAGCAAACATATATGAAAGAGTAACGTCCATGGGCATAAAATAAATACAAGGGAATGTCAACAAATATGGCCATCATATATCCTTGAATTCAACTATTCTAAAATGTAGCACTCCAATATGCTACCAAAAATCAAGTAGTGCCAACATTATGACAATTAAAATCCCTCTTCTTGAAATCCAATATGGTAAGAGCAAGAATGTAACAGGTGCACCTAAAAAATTCCAGCAGTTCGAACTGATGAGTTCCGACTTTTCGTAATAGGGAATTCCATTGAAGCACAACATAAAAGGCTTATCAATCAATTCCAACAGTATAACAGGGAATGCTATCAAACAATTCCAATAGCATAACAGAGAATGCATTGAAGCACATTCCTTGAAGAACAATATAAAAGGGTCGCATTGAAACACATTCCAAAAGTTAAACGATTCCCACTTCTAGAACAAAAATTCTGCATAAAGGAACAGGGATGGGAAGAACAAATTGTGAACCAAAGTTTCCCACATTGCGAACCAAAGTTTCCCCCAACCCTCAAAAAAAAACAAAAAAATGCATAAAAAACTCAACAAAAACCTCAGATCCATTTCAATCAACGCATTCCTACAAATCCAACAAAGGCATTCTAAAGACAACCCTAAAGAAAACCAATTCTTGCAAAAAAAGTAAAGATAACTGAATCGAGCCACATAAAACCAACCAGAGAAGATTGAACAACCTGAAAGCATTGCGGCATATAAATCTCACCAGAAGAATCGTGGTTTACGAAGGAGAAGATCGAGAAAGGAGATGGTGAGGGAGAGCGCAAGAGAGATATCTCAGGGGCACGGGAGGAATTAGAACCCTAACAAACGCCGAACGCAAGAGGAGCCTCACGTCGGATGTGTAGAAGGAAAATAAGAAAGCGAT